CCCCAAAACCCCAAAACCCCAAAACCCCAAAACCCCAAAACCCGCCAATAAAAATTGAGTGTGTAAATTGAATTAATGTTGGATTAAAATGATCATTAAAATTTTAGGTGATAATTTAATATGGCCCCAAAACGAAAACATAAGAAAAATCAGCCAGAAAGCGAAGAACCTTTCTTGACTCCTACTTCAACTACTACCTCATAAAATAATGAGAAGATTCAAAAAGAAGAAACTAATGTAAAACATATAAAAAAAGCAGATGATAAGAAAGCCACTAAAATTAAAACAGATATTGTGCCGGATAAATCATAAGATGTTCAGCACAAAAATATAGGTACCAAGAATAAGGTATCTTTCTAAGGATTTATTAGCAAAGAGAATTAAGCAGATCAAAAGATATAATCTCATAAGTAAGGTTTTACATATTCTCTAATTTTATCTCTTAGAGTGACTTAAGAAGATTTCATGAAAAATGAGAACCTTCAGGAATTGTCTTTGATGGCTTGCATGGGGTTCTTTGTGAAACATTCATTTAGAGATGTTGGCAGAAGAAAATTTCATTTCAGCTTAGCCTTTTGCTCTGTATTTATTGTGGTTCTAGCCTCATTAGTGATTAACACAGCTGTTGAAAAGGGTCCAATCATATTCTTGAAGCTTGCAGAAGGTTAACAAGGAGAAATCGATGCTATTATCACTCCTTTTGGACAGCATAAAATGAAGGAGGACAAAAATAATAATCTATTTATGAACTATACCAGAATCACAGAGTTTTTCAGCAAAGAGAACTGGAATCTAAGTCCCAGAAATTTCATCAAAGCTTCTTAGACCGTCACTGAATTAGCAAGTAATCTGTATGATCCTTATGATGAGGATGATATTAAAGACTGGAGATAATCTTTTGATAAACAACATAATTTGCCTACAAGAGAAGATGCATATGATGTACAGTTCTAGGCAAAGTCATAGTCTAATAACATATTAGCATTTAAAACTATTTATGAAAGGAAAATTGAAGTTGGAAGAGAATACTAATATGATCCTATTGATTTTGGATAGTGCTATTTGATTAAAAACGATGATTTAAAAATAAAGGAAGGGTAGATATTATTTGTAAGAGCACCAATCACTAACTTAATGAACTAACTAATTGATCACTATAACAAGGAGGCTATTGGAAATAATAAAGTGAAAATACCTGATAATTTTGATCAGCTTAATGTATAATTCCCTTGCAGGATCAAATACATAGACTCATTATTTGGAAAAATACCTTAACATTCTGGATCTTTGATTCTATTTGAACATGATAAGCTTTTGGAATTATTTTCATATTATTTACCTGATCCACTTCATTAAGAGATCTATTCTGATTTTCATGAATACTTGAGAAAACCCTTGCTTTTGGATGAATTTTCAGATCAAGTCTTATTTACGATGCCATCTCCAAGAATTCAACATTATGAAAGCCCGAATATTGATTTTATTAGAGCTAGATTAACAAATAAATTTAGCTAGTTAGAGGAGGGCCTTGGATTTTATCCTATTTAAGTGACATCAGAGCTTTTGGGTGCTCTGAATTCATATACCATGAGTGTATTATTTTTGGGACTAATATTTGATCTTATTGTTTTGCTTTTGGTCATAATATCTGTTTTATTGATTTATTCATTGCTTTTGATAAATATCGAATCCAAATCATTTGAAATAGGAGTACAAAGAATGGTAGGACTTAGTAAACTTGGCTTAGTGATAATGGTTCTTGTTTAAAGTTGTATCTTTGTTATTCCTGCTGTGATATCAGGCTTCACTCTATCAATTCCTTGCTTAAAGATATTTACATTCGTTCTTAAGAAAAAGCTATATCTTGATATTGTGCCTCTTCCAAGTAGAAACGCTATTCTTCAAGCTCTATTCATTGGAATAGTCATCCCTACACTCAGCTCTATTTTGCCGATCTAGGTTGCTATGAAGTAAAATCTTAATGATGCTCTAGACTATCAAAGGAGTAAGACTCAAGGTGTGATGATAAATATACTTTAAAAAGGCGATAAAAAGATGAATGACTTTATTGCTTTTGGAACTATAGCTACCGTATTTGGAATCTCAATATACTATCTCCTACCTTACTCCTTATTATCACTTAACCTCTCTTTGATAATGAGAATATTCATCTTCATATTGTTTGGAATGATTTTTGCATTATCTTTAATGGCTCTAAATGTCCAACGTATAATTGAGGTAACATTCACAAGATTTTTCTTATATTATGAGTAAAACAGCATCAAAGTTATGGTTCTTAAAAATCTGCAGGCCCATCGTGGTAGAAATAAACTAACAGCTATTATCTACTCATTAGCTTTGGGGTTTGTTATCTTCTTGGTAATTGCATACAAGATCTAACTTCAAACAATGAGATTGCATGAAATGCGTTTTAGAGCAAGTTATATTCAGATTTAAGTAGAGTAAAATCAACCTGCCCTAATTCCAAAATATATTGAGCCAGTATTAAAAAATATTATGATTACAGACTACATTAAAGCATTCTCTTGGATTCCAAGAGAAATAAATAGAGTCAAAGATCTTAAATTGATGACAACCAGAATTGTAGATCATTCAAGAAGAAATTAGTTCAAGATAGGATTGTATGGTGTTACTCCTTCGTTATTTGACTCTTGTCATGATGAATTGCTAGAATACGATTTCAGAAATGAAAATACATCTTTAAGCATTGTAGAGCAACTATATACTCCCAGAGGTACTTAATCAGCTGGAATGGGCGCAATTCTCCCCAAAAAGACTTCTCTTGATCTCTCGGACTATAGATAGACTTTTGTAATTGAAATGCTATCTCCATTAATGAACAGGATGTATGAGATCAGGCCTTTATTTACAATGAATAGAGCACCAGGTTTCACTATGCCAGGAGAAGAAATTATGAAATTTAACGATTTGACTATTCTTGTTTCGATGCCCATATATGCTCATCTTGCACAGATTAAAATTGACGAAATCCCTTTCGAAAGGCTAACTATCAGACTTAAAGATCCCTATAACATGGAGCACAGGTCATAGCTAAAGAAAGCTTTGGTCGAGTAATTTGATTCAATCGGATTAAGTGATAAAGAGTATGCTATTAGAGATAGTATTGAGGATCTCAAATCCCTTAAGGATGTTGAACTAATCCTTCAAATAATCTTCAGTGTTATTATTCCTATAACAATGTTCCTCTGTTTTTTCTCTCTGAGTTCATCCATGGGGGCAAATCTTTATGAACAATGCAAAGAGATCGCAATCTTAAGAGCTATTGGATTCTTAGAGAAAAACATTCAGAGAATTTACATTTTTGAGGCTTTCATACTTGTAACATCAAGCTCAGTTCTTGGGATAATAATCGGTTGCTTCCTAGGGTGGATTATGGCTTTGTAACAGGGAATGTTTATCTAATTGCCCTTTAAATTTGAATTCCCTTACGGGGCTTCTCTTTAGATTTTTGCGATATCAATAGTATGCGCCTTTATGAGTACTTATGGACCAACTCGCTAATTAATGAGTAAAAGTATTCCGAATATAATGAGAACTGCTTGAATTAAACAAAATATTATTTCAGGCTTTTGATTTAATATCGAATATTTTTATTTTTCTCTATTCTATTCATCTGGGGTTTTGGGGTTTTGGGGTTTTGGGG